AATCTACAATTTGTTTTTTGTCAAGAACAGGTTTTTACCACACATGTGAATGCCTTAGTGGCACTGTGTATAATATGAACTTTGAATGAACTTTTAATTTTGAATGTGATTAGCTGATTTTTACATATATTTTAGATTGTTAGATTGATTTTAGAATTGAACTTATTGTGTGTACAATTGAAACTGTTGGATTGAATGTGATTGGCTGATTGTGTGTACAATTTGAACTGTTGGATTGAATGTGATTGGCTGATTGTGTGTACAATTGGAACTGTTGGATTGAATGTGATTGGCTGATTGTGTGTACAATTGGAACTGTTGGATTGAATGTGATTGGCTGATTGTGTGTACAATTTGAACTGTTAGATTGAATGTGATTGGCTGATTGTGTGTACAATTTGAACTGCTAGATAGAATGTAATTGGCTGATTGTGTGTACAATTTGAACTGCTAAATTGAATATGATTGGCTGATCTTAAATATGAGCTATTTTGATTTGCTGACGAAGCACCAGATTGTGTTAGTCTTTGTAAATATTTACACTTAACACTGCTTTTAAAAAGATAATTGTGATTCCTTTACTACTCTTTTCCTTATCTGTATTATCTCTCATAATATGAGTGAACTTGTGATATTGAATTTATTGAATGAGTAGTAAATTTCATATAGAAACTACTACATGAGTTTAATAAATCCGCTATCACACATTCCCATATTTAAGATCTTATTTATCCCATGTATCTGTTTCACAGCTTTTTGTTGTCATAGATACATTGAAATCATAAACTATACATGCACACATCTTAGAGTGCTCTGCATTCATTTGCATATAAGGAACGATGTTCCTTGAATAGTTTTATAAAATCGATAATTTATTGCCATCACTAGACATTTTTAAAGAGATGATGTTTTTCAGAATATTCAAGATTTGGTAATATTTTTAAAGTAATTCTGTCAGCAACTTTTTCACATGTTTTATGAGAATTTGCAACCGATACATCAGGGTAACAAACTCCTTGCGTCGTTATTTTAAAATACTAATGGCAATTCTTCAACTGATCCATGTTTTAGCATCATTAAAGATGATGTCACAATTTTGAATTTTGTGTATCACCCAATCAGATAAGTAGCCCGTTGGATATCTGGGATGGGATATCAAAAATATTGAATGGGCTATAACACAACAGCATGATATAGTTTGACTAAAATCAGATTTAGGAAATGTTGAAATGTTGTGAAGAAAGATGAAATTTAAGAAATTCTCTAATGAAAACATTAAATGATGTTGAGTACCGGTATATGTTAACTAATTCAATGAAGACGTTGAGTAAATGTTCTCTGGTCTAATGAAGACATGGAATGCTCATCCACACATTATGCACAAATAAAACCATTGCATTTATTAAAGCAGGAGTTGTCACCTACGCATGCGTCAGATGGCCATAGGGTGTCATTGTTTACAAACAAGCGTCTACCCATGAGCCTTTGCATTTTTAACACATGTTATCGTACCTTGGGACTCTATTCCCGCGCATGCACAGGTGATGACCCTCTCGCTTTAACTATTTGAACACCAAAATCAACCTTTTTCACCAGATTTCCTCCCCACAAAATGATTTAAAAATTATTAGGACCTGTAATCAATATGGAATTGTGTTCATTTGGTCCAAAAATTAAAAATAAATTATAGAAAAATATTGAAAACTTGGTCACATGTTGCGCTGTAATTTTAGTGAGAATAATTATAGCATTCAAGGAGTATGCACTTGGTACATTATAGAGGCTGAAGTTAGCGAAGAACTATTTTTAACTTTCTATAAATATATTTATCAAATGAGTATACTTTTCATCAATTTTCGGTGACAGTTTGAAACTTTTTAATGTACTTGTTACCTTGGTTATTGTACAATCAACCCACACTTGTTGTGGTCTTTATTGTATTAATGCACAGACAGTGTGATAGATATAACTTTTATTGACTTCTATGTATGAAGCACACAATGGAAGTCTTTGTCGTACCCCAGTCTGTTTGTCTGTCTGTATTTGTATTTGTGATTTCATTTAAAGCTAATCACTTGCTTTGACAGTTTCAATTAGCCAAAGCCTTTATGATGCTTACATGGGTCAGAAATAGATATTTTTCTGGTGTCCCACAGTTTCCATGCTGAATATGTTTAAATTTCACATAAACAAGCAATGTAATGTAATTTTATTAGTGTTAGAGAAAGATTTACAATGATTATGATGATGCAGTAGTAATCTATTGATATTCTAAGATGATTGACTGATACATTGTCTACTTGTTCTCTAGTAACTAATACAACCTGAAAGTTACTATTTTTGTCTGTCCAAGCAGACTAATACTGAATGAAAATATAAT